TCTTTTCTCTCCTGTACCGACAACGGCACAGAGATATCGTCTGAACAAGGAGGCACTCCCCCCCCTTGCCTTGCCCTAACCCGTACAGCGCGCCACCCTCATGCTAGACATTTTCATATCGCGCTGCACTCTGCTGTGCAGGACTCTCCACGTCCGGAGCGACCATCCGCCCCGGACCTATACTTCAAACTCGGACATCTCGGAAGAGGTTATCTCTCCCGAGCTTTCTGCCTCGCGGCCGCCCCCTGCCGTGTCATCTCGGCTCGCGAAACAGATGCTACACACTCGATGAAAAGCCGCCTTGCTGAGGACGTCTCCTCGAAACACTTCAAATCTTCTGTACTCTATGCCCGGCCTTTGATGGCACCGCCCGAATTGATGCAATGTCCTGGTCTTAGACCTACCCCTGAACGAAACGATCGGCGTGCCCAAGACCAGGCCCTCCACTGCAGGCAAGCGTTCACCGGCTTTCTCGCCCACCTGCTCCTGCTGCTCGCCGGCCGATTGCTCCGGCCCGGTCACCCCCGACGTCTCGGCGCCCGGCTCCACTAACACCGCCTGCCCCTCGTCTGTCCAAGCGACCTGACAGGGCTGCGGTCTGCCGGTGCCAGCAGGCATAAAAGTGGTCAGCCTGTATTCATACTTCTTGCACGCTTCTGCATCGAAGCCCCGATCTCGCATCCGCCCTATTGCCCGACGGATTGCTGCGTGCTCCCGAAACGAATCCTCGCTGCCCGGGTTCTCCTTGACGTAGATCGCGAGCAGTTGCTGGATCCGTCGCATCCTGGCCCCCCTCTCGGGGTCTGCCAATTCTGCCACGCTGCACTTCTCATCGGCCATGGTCGAAACCACGTCCGCTGGCCACTTCATTGCGGCCAGCAACAGCCTCATGGTGTTTGCCTCGCAGTCCTCCGACCAAACTGCCCCGATTCCCTTTGGGACCAAGGCTGCCTTCTTGCCATCCTGCCAAGTCCATGCCATGCGAAGCAGCCCCTGATGAATCGCCGAGGCCGCAATCATGCTGAGTGGCTTCTTGCCAAAACACTGCCCATCCTCCGAAGGCCAAGGCATCATATAGTCTCGATCGGTAGTACCCGACTTCTGCCCCAGCTCACACCAATGCTTCCACCCAGTGCTCAACCAGCTTTGACATTTGAACCAGGCCTCCAATGAAACATAGAATGTCCTTCGCAGCTCGGGCGCACCATTTGAGACAGGCGCAAACTGCCTCACTTCACCGCACAAGCCCGACTCCGTCATCGCCATCTTTCCGGCAGGCACCTGAAGATGCTGCGCTTCCCAGCCCAGGGCAGCCCAGAAGCGCACCAGGCGATGCTATGCCGAAACTCGGGCGTAGCACGCCACCTCTTCCGAACAAACCATCTCCTCCCATGCAACAAGCACCGCAATGGGAAGGCACCGAGCTGGCTCCCAACCAGCAGACCCTCCTGCTTCCACCCGCTGCTTTGCCTCGCTCACGCAGTCCTGGACCTCCACGGACCGGCTCAGCCGCTGCTCTTCTGTCGCACCAGCCAGTTCTTCCATGAAGCAAAGGGTCCTCATCACCCTGTCCAGTTGCACTGTGGCGGTCGCCCCTTCTGTAACTGCCCACAGGTAGTCCACTAGCTGTGCAGGAGACTGAGGCCACCGCACACGGTGAGCTTGCTCAAGCCACCAAGCAAGCCTTCTCCATACCTTCACATGCTTTCTCACCCGTCTCGAAGAAACCCCCACCAAGGCACCCTCCGTCTTCCGAACGTCTAAGTGGGAGCATCCCGACTCTTGCAGCAAGGCATGCAATGCCTCGCACCAACGTCGTGACTCTGCGTCCCTGACCGCAGCCTCCTTGTCTTGCTCACCATCTGCGTCTCGGAGCTCCCGCTCCAGACGTGTCTGCCAGCGAATCCTCTTCGCCCAGCCCACCGTCATGGTGGTGATCTCTTCTCCCGACTCGGCTGCTGTAAGCCGCCTCTTCTTTCGACCACCCGCCGACGGAGCTGGCCCCACGACATCCCAATGCCGTGGGCTTTGCCGGGCTTCCAACAGGTGAACCTGCTTTGCCGCTACGTCCGCACGCTCGACGAGGTCGAAGAGGTTCTCGAGGTTCGCAGCGAACCTGCCTTCCATGCAGCTCCCGCGCCGAAACCAGCAGGCGCTTCACTAGCCCGGGAGGCTGTCCGTGCAGTGTTGCGAGCCGGGTGACACTCCAGCCCAGACGGACAAGCGTGGTCCTGTCAAAGTCCGTCAACCCGGCTTCCACACAGCATTTGGACAGCCCCCCATCGCCCTCCATGGCTCGAGGCGTCCTACGCTGGTTCCCCCTCAAGTCCAAAGAGGGAATTTGGGCCCTAAACTACCGGTCTATAATTAAATTAGCCCAGCTGGAGACCCCAATAGCAAGATACAAACCGGGACAAAAAGAAAAATCTGGAAACAGCTGCTGTTTTCAACACATCGACCATCTCTTCCTTGGACACCATCATCACATATCACAAAATGACCAGGGCACCATCAAAACATGACCGAGACACCGTCACAACATGATTGGGACACCATCACAACATAACCGGGACACCATCACAAGGTGACCGGGACACCAGCGTGACATGAAGGGGACACCATCACAACATGACCGGGACACTATCACAACATGACCGGGACACCGTCACATGACCCGGACACCATCAAAACATAACCGGCGCACCGCCAAAACATGACCAGGACACCATCACAACATGACCGGGACAC